GCGGTAATGCACCAAAAGTTGTTTGCCAACCGCCATAAAACACAAGAAGAAGACGAAGAAGGAGGGAATCAGGCAAATCAAAATGGCCCAAATAGCATAACGGTCTCAGTCTCGGGGTCATCCCAGGTCGCACCACACTCTTTTGAAGCCATTATATAAAATGTTGGGTGGAGAAGATTTCGATTGTTGTTTATAGTTGTTGTTCTTCTTCTGTTTTGTGTTGGTTGGCAAGCAACTTCCGCCAACTACTGGAATGGAGTGTGAATCGGGATGTGTAGCCAGATGGAGATGACACATTCTGCTCATGTGCTCATGTTATCAGAGAACCGGGCCAGGGAAAAACCGAGCCGAGCCCACCTCTGGAACTGGTCTGCAGTCAGCTCGGTTAGGTTGTGTCTAGCTTGGCTCAGTTCAGTTTGCTTTCCATTTACACACGATAAGTTATCTCAGTTACTGAGCTCGGACCAGTCTTGGCACGGTTTTTCAAGGATAGTGTAAATGGGGTAGATGAATCTTCTTAAAAGAACAGATATTAACACCTCAGTAATGGGGAAAACACTGATGTTATCACTAACCACACACTGGTATTTATACTGTGGCACCACCTCAACAGTTTGATCATCTTTAGTTGCAGAAGAGATTTTTAAATCTATTTTTCTAAACATTTATCTTTGTTTAATTGTTGTTTAATTGAAGCCATTTGTAAATGGATCAAATAAAGGCGGGAAAAGACACAAAGAACACAAAGGGAAAAATTACTCTGACCTGTTCAACCAGGAAATAAAACCGATATCAATGTTGACTTTAGTTACTGTGCTTAAAGGTATTGTTAGACGTCATTTTTTTCCAAGTTAATAAAAGTATTCTAATCAGGGACTTGGCTATGTCATGTAGTACCTGCTTTATGATCCTATTTAGTACAGATATTTATCCTTAAGCTCCCTCTGAAATATTTTAATATATTAGATTTTTTTGCTCATAAAAAGTGTTGTAAATAGTTTTCTTTTTTTAACTTAAAGGGGGTTTTGGTGCATATAAACTAACCAAGATGGTAAAATAACTTAGTTATTCTGTTTCCTTAGATCCCAGACAATGTGTTTTCAGTTCTGCTTCAGTACCTGGAGGGGCTGTGTGGAACAGCGAAGGATATAACGGTCCAGAAGGCCTTAAAGCTGGTGGAAGAATCTGGAGATGCACCAAACGATGCAGTTGTCCAGCAGAGAGCGCAGAGAGCCAGAGAAGTGATCCAGCTTTTATCCTGACCCTTGGGAACCACTGGAATGGATGAGATAACACAGGAAGACACTGAAACAAGGGCCGGGTCTCCTGCCTGGAACTGCTGCTCTCTGGAAATAATTCATTTAAAGGCTCACATGTCTGTCTGTGCTACTACAGTCTATAAAGACCAATATTTTCCTAAATGTTTTTACCTTCATATGATTCTTTGATCATTTTCTGAAAACAATAATATAGTTTTCCGGTGTTGAATGTCTTCAATAAGATGGAGATGAAATCTTCGGAGGGGGGTGGAACGCTAAGAAACTAGTGGAGGTAAAAGTAGTCAGGAATGCTTATGGTTGAGACATGTTGATGCAAGTCAGACGTGTATTCAGTCCAGTCCAGCTGATGACTCTTCCTGACACGGGAGAAAATATTCTGTGAAACCAACTCAGACCCTCAGCCTACATGATGTTCACACAGCCTCATTATGTAGAGTTTCATATTTTCAATGATGCAGATCCACATTTTAGATCAAATGTTTACACAAACTTATCGACAGGCTGGAACGCTTAATTTTAAATAATTTATTAGAGATGCTTTAGCTTTTCTTTGTCTTTTTAAAAAAGGTCTGGTGTTACTTTTTTGGGGAAATTGAAATTTTCTCCAATCCGTAAAAGTTCAGCAATATACATTTAGGCTCTCAGTCCATGTAGATGTTTCTCTCAGCTGCAGACAGTTACTCTGGAGCTAAGTGTTCTTATTTTCTAAAGGTGATAGAAACATTTGACTAAAATGTTGGATCTGCTGCATAAAAGTGAGTTTGTACTACGGCCTGAATGACACCAGGGTTTTCCCGAGAGCTGAAACCAAAATGCATCTTTTCTCTAACACACGTGGATCTTGAAGAGTTGGCTAAAAATGGTCAGGAGATTTGTGCTTCCTTTTGCTCACTGCATGGTTTAGATCAGTCCTCCAGAGCCGTCCTCCATGTTTGGACATTTTTACTGCTCCAAATTCAAATAAATGCTGATTTTCTGCAGATCTTGATATGCTGCAGTTTAGCCTTTTATCTAACCTCTGGGCATAGATGAATCTAAACATGCAGGACACTGGATATTGGGACACTGATGTTGACAAATCCTGGGTTAGAAGTTTCCCTTTAGCCACATCCCCAATTTACATGCTTATGTTGAACATGAATTAATTTAAATTATGCTTGTGACAAAATTTAAAAACATCCAAACTAGGTAAGAGCTGTTCAAGGGACTTAGTTTTGAACAAGAAAATATCCTCATTGAAAAGAAGATTCAGACTAAAAGGAAAAATTTTATCCAATGAGCTGTGAAATGTTTGTGGACTCAGATTAAAACATGTGGAGCAAACTAATCTTGTCTGCTTTTCTCATTTGGGATGGCCTCGGTTCTCAACAGGTATTTTAAAGCGACGCCAACTGCTTACATCTCCAGCTTTATGTTTTATCTTAATCTTTTCATCTGTCTGAAGTCAACCAGTTTCTTTTCATTTGTGTGCTGGAAGAAAAAAAAATTACACATCCTCTTTGTTGTTGCAGCACAAGAGATTCACCTTGAGGTTTCTCATCGCAACACCTCCAAATCTACAGTAGACAATGACATTTTTTTTTTAGATAGTGTGAAGACACAAATCGGTCAAAGAGAGGTGACTTTAAGGATGGAGGTATGTGGGTTGTCACCTCCTGGGAGAATCGGCTTTAATGGTGAAGGTTCAGTGTACAAACAAGAAAGTTAACGGATTTCATTCACTCAGTGTGAAGACGTTCAAACCTGGAGAAAATTTGTGCACCCATATATTATTTTTTTTCATTAGAACCAAGGAGAAAAACTTAGCTCTACTGGCTTGTCGTTTTTATATAAATATTGCTTTGTAAAGCTGCCTGTTCTGCATTTTTTCTGACTCTAAACCCGTGCAAGTTCAGGATGTCACAGTTTAACAGAAATCCAACACAATTTCCAAAGTTTTATTTTTAAATAAACCCTTACATTTCCATATTTGCATTTGTTTATTACCAGACAGAACATTAAACAAGCTGACAGTTCTTCTGAAGATGTCCACCTTTCAGTTTAGAGAACCTTTTTTTTTTTTTTGCAGCCTCTCTTAAGGTTCTTTCTAACCAAACCCTATCTAAACCATTACATCATGTTAAATAAATGTAAAAAAAAAAATTGGTAGTGCAATTCAGGCTGCATCTTTTATTTCCAATGTCTCAGTAAAAAATGATACAGAATCAGTTTTGGCAAAGTCTCAGAGTAGGAACACAACTTCAAACCTAAATCAGCTTTAAAATGTGTCCCTTTCCCATCACATCTGAACCAAGTAATGTTTCATCAATGGGCCTCTGTAGAGCTGGATGATTGAATGTTGATGAGGGGAATTTAACTATTTGAATAGCGTGTTGGAGAAGGCCCGCATGCAAATGATAAAGGACAATATATCAAGGATTAGAGCAAACACTCCCACTTTAAAGTGAGGAATCGTCTTTTCTTTTTTCTATATGCGTGGATATTACAGGGGGGAGTGTCAAGATATGAACCTCACTAAAACTGCAATGGATCTTCCATTTCCTATAAAAATGTCTACAGAGGGGAAGTTTAATAGAGCAGTATGTACTTCAACCTCAAAAGCTTGGTCAAGTTTTTTCTACTATAGTCAGAGGGGGTAATAATGCCTAATTGGTGGCAACAAGAAGGTCTTATATTTGAATCCCAATCTGCGATTCTTTCAGCTAGATTTTCTCCAATCTCTGTGTGCACGCCTGGGTACTATTATCTTCCTCTCCCACTCCAAGTTAATACTGTGTATCTCTGTGACGAACTGGTGAAATGTCCAGCGTGTCAAACTCCCCCAGTGACTGCTGGCTGCTTGGTGAAGTAGTGTATCAATAATATATGCCGAAACAGGTTCAGTCATATTCAGAATAACAGCTATTAAAACATGGCATTGTTACAGTTTTCCATCTTATGCCTGCAGGATGTTTTAGTTTCCAGTGATGCTGCCTCCATAAAACATCGGAAAAGCTTGCAGGGGTTGTGGAGATACTGGGAAGGTAACAGTCCAAACTTTACCCTAAAAGTCTGATGCAGTGTTGCCCAAGAGAATTAATCCACATTTTACTGGTGTGAACCTCGTTTCAAACAGACCAGAAAGACATTAAATCCCCTCAGGTCCTTTAAAATAAGCAGCCTGCCGCTCCTGGTGATCTTCACAGTAGATCGAAGATACCCGTGTCTCCTCTCAGGTGTTGGTCTTTAGCTGGCACAGTCACTGCACCCTTTTGTTCATCTGTCATATAAAATAAAATAAAAAAAAATTCATGCTATAGAGACAGTTTAAACATATATGGCGAGGCTGGTTTTAGGCTCACTTACTTGGCTGTGACTCAAAAGAAATATTATTCTGAGTGAGGAGAGCACGCAGTCTTGCTATCTCTTCACTCTGTTTTTGATAATCCTAGAACAAAATACATACAAATAAATATCAACCATATGTTTCAAGAAACACTCGCCTACCATGCGTAATCGTTGATGAACTTACTTCTTGGCATTTCTGTAAAGAGTTTGGCTTTCCTGAATCTACTTCTGCCTGTGGTACAGTCTCTGTCACTTTGTTGCTCTTCAAGAGTCCAGCATCCTGAAAAATATCTCTCAGGAGATTGTTGTAGCCCTGTAGTGCACATAAGATTAACATGATTAGCTAGCAATTTCATAGTTTTAAATCCTCTAATGTCCGAGGCATTAGTAGAGCTATGAATGCACTTTTGATGTTTTTAGCGACATTTAATGGTTTAATCTAAATCTACTTCCTACCTGCTCAGTGATAAGACCCTCATATCGGGCCTGCTCCGCTTCATCCCATTCTTCCTGCAGCTTCTCATTCAGAGTAGGGTACACTGTAAATAAAAAAACGCAGCCCCGATTACTGCCGACATTCACAGCATAAGAGGAGGCTTTTATTGCTGACCTACCTAACAGCGAATGAGGATGGCAAACGAGCGGCGTCTCGAAGGTCAGCGAGTAAACACAGGTGCTGGGCTCAGATACTTGCACCAGTTTGCTGCTGTTGCTGCAGAGCAAAATCACCTGAACGTAACAAGAAACAGAAGGTTTTTTTCCAAAATGAGTTGACTTGACACAAAACTATTTTAGTATTTATTTACTTAAAATGTGCATATTGCAATCTTTATTTTTTTTTATCCCTTAAGGCATATTTGATAAAATATATATACAGACACATAAATAAAAAATACCGTAATATCTCTGATGCACCTACTGGGTGTAGGCCTGTAAGATATTCTCACTAAGTGGTAAACTTAATTTGAATAAAAATTGTCATAAGATAATAATAATAATAATACATTTTATTTAACAGCGCCTTTCTGAACACTCAAGGTCACTTTACAAGAATTAAAAATAAATGAAAAGAAAGATGAAAATACAAATACAGGAACATAAATACAGTTATGGATAGGGAAAAGATATAAACCTAAAACAAGCTAAATTACAAAACAATCAAAGTTCCCCTTTAAAAAAAAAAAAAAAGGAAAAAAAAAAACAGTTCTTGTGTTTTTGAATAATTGTAATATTAAAGTCATCATTGCAGGTGTAACACTGATATCTGTATTTGTAGCAACAAATATTTTAGAAAATGGTGGAAAAAAACACTGTTGCCAACTGCGTGAAAATTCAGTAAGGGCTCGGCCATGCACTTCTTCTACCCCAACCACATTACGAATTCTTAACTTTACATGTTTGTGAACTGAATTTGCAAAAATTTGAATTGAACCTGGATTACATCAGACACCTAATACTGTTTCCTAATACAGGACAGTTCCCTTTTTAAATTGACAGTTGGCAACCCTACTGTCAACTCAAATTTCTATTTCTGTGTAAAGCGCCCACACAAAAATTAGTATGCCATGTGCTTCTGTTAGCTGGATACGCTAACAGCAGTTAGCACCTCAACAATTCTCAAATGATTTTGCATGGAATTCATTACCATGCCTGACATTTGACCTGATGCAGCATAATATCTGTAGAACTAAAGACTCTTAAAAACATAAAAATCAGCTTTCTGTTTTCTTTTGTTCTGTTTTCCATTTCATTTTTGTCTCATAATTATTGTTTTTACATTTATCTCAAATGCAGCTCATACATCTATGCTAATAAATGGTTGTTTTAAAGTAATGCACTCTTTAGAAAAATATATAGAAATCTAGATTTTTTTTATATTAATTAAATTAAAAATAAAATAGAGCTCCTGACTCCTGCTAAAATTACAAGTTGCCATAGAGGAAAAAAGGCATCTTTAAAGAACTCTTAAATTATCTCCAGAGATTGAATCAAGACAGGTTGAGCCACAAACTAGGGTTGTACTCTATATCAAGAAATTTAATTACAGCCCTTTTCTTGAAATATTATCCTTTGAAATGCTGTTTTTCTTTTTCTAAACTCGTTTCTATAGGTGTCAACATTAATGCTGATGAGTCAACCAATGAGGTAAGAAGATTTATCAGGAAACTAGTAATAATTTGCCTGAGAAAAAGAAAACTAATAAAGAGCAAGAAAAGGAACACAAACCTTTAAAAAAAAAAAAAATGTGTTTTTTCTTTTTTTTTTACCTTTGTCTCTCTGTTTCTGGTTCCACATGTGTCACCATCTCTCATCCACATGCCTGTGAAAGTGTTGTTGGCCATTTCCCACTCCTGCCAGATCCTATTTAACATAAAATCACCAACAGTAGACTTACAATTTCAATTTCACTAATTAAAAATCATGATTTTCTGAACTGACAAAATTAATTTGCTGTGTCTTACCCCAATATCCCACTGTAGGCGTTCCACCTAAATGACTGCTCATGCTGGGTAACATTGTGGAATGGACAGAATTCATATTTATACCTACAAAAGAACCAGTTACACAGGGATACTGATTGCTTTAAATGGTCAACCAAATGGGAAATGGATGAGTCAGATTCCATCATGTGCATCTTCAGAACACTGTATACTCACAAGGACTCTATGAGGCTGAAGCACTTTCCAGCAAGACGATGAAGATGGGCCGGGCCTTAAGGAGAATGTTACTATGGTTACCAAAGAGACTGTTGACTTTTATTCTGTCCAGTTAATTATTTTTTCTTTACTGACATAAAAAACAACTGAGTACAATCACTAAATTGTTCATGAGCAGTGTTCTCAGCTGAGTACTGAACACACATCCCTGAGGAACGCCAGTGTCAGAGGGCATTTTTTTTGTTTTTTATCTTTGCCACTGACAGTCTACTTGTAGAGAGGTCAAGACATCTGATATCCTGAACCATTTGGGTTCAGATTTCTAAACTAAAATCTATTCCTTTTCTAGTTTCAAATTCTCTGTTTTCTTTATCCTTTTAAAGTAATTTGCGTGTGCTGAATGAAAAATTGCACTCTGAGTTTATGGCAGCTGTTTCTAAGTGGTCGGGCTTTACTTTCTTTTTTCTTATTCAAAATCAGATCTATTTTCAACACTTATGCTGACCTGGAAATTACCCAATATAGAGAGTTCAAAGAAACCCTTAGTGTAGCAGGTATGTGGGGTGTAATTTGGGCTAAAGGTAGAAATGCAAGATTAATTTTTCCCAGATCCAATACATTGGCTGAGCCAATATCCAATAATGGCCGATATCCAATACTGCTGCTGCCTTTGAATTAATTAACCACATACCCCGCCACACAGATATAAATCATCACTAGCTGCTGTGTGTGTTCTGGTCGATGGCGTAATCAGCATTGCAAACATGAAATTTAATTCACTAGATCGCTATGGTGTTCGAAAGACTGCGCTACAGTGCTTAATATGCAAAGGAGAGGGAGATTGCATGGGAGAAGATTGCTGCTTGAATGAACGTGTAGGCTTATGTGAAGTTCTCTATGACAGGCATAGCCTGTTGTGACCACAATAACATTACAGGAAAAACTAGGTTACTGGGTGAATGGTAGTGGGTCAATGTAACTATTTAGGGGAAATCACCTGGCAGCAGATAAAGATTAAGTCTAAGAACGCTGTTCCAGCAGGTAGGACCTGCGCAAATACTAAGTGTCTGTTAGCAGCTGCTTTGGATGTTATCCCAATAACTGGCCATTATTAGCGGTTATTAGTCCAATAGAATTCCTTCAGATTGTGCCTCCTACCTCCCAGTAGGTTGTTATTACAGAATGAATACTAAGCCTACAGTAATTCCTTTTTTTCCCCATGGAATCAATAAATCTATTCATCTGTAATTCATCCATCCTGCACGCTTATCCCTTCTGGGGTTGTGAGGTCTAGCTTTCTACGGGCAAGAGTACACCCTGGACAGGTTGCCAGTTTATTGCAGGGCAACACGGAGACAAACAGGATATACAACCATCCACGCTCACACCTAAGGAGAAATTAGAGAAGCCACTTAACCTAACAGTCATGTTTTTGGACTGGGGGAGGAAGCCGGAGTACCCGGAGAGAACCCATGCATGCTCAGGGAGAACATGCAAATTCCACGCAGAAAGACCCCAGGACGGGAATCGAACTTGGAACCTTCTTGCTGCAAGGCGGCAGCTCTACCCACTGCTTTACTGTGCCACTATGTGTAATCTGAAAATAATTTCAGTAATTCTTTATGTACTGTAAAAAAAAAAACATTTTTTTAAATGGTCTGCATGTCGCTCATATTAAACAGAGCAAAGACAAATACCCTGCCAACTGAGTTGACCATAAATATTGAATTCTCTGAGAATGAATACCAATGATTCTTTAATAACACACCCAATGAACCAGCTGTGAGCTTACTGAAAAAAAAACCTGCTCCCAACCAGGTTAGCTCTGGGGAGAATGTTACTATGGTAGCAGAAATAGGTTGAGTAAACTCTCTTTGTAAAATGGAAAACTCGTTTTCCCTGATTCAGGTGTAAAACATTTTTCAGTAAACCTGCTTTTTGAAACGGACCCAGACTTTTGGAACAATATCATTCATCTGATATCTATTCCAGCTAATTTAGCTATTTTTTTTCAATATCGGAACATATATCCAATCCTAGCATAGGATCATTGCATCCTCTAGTAAAAAGTTAGTCATGTTAAATTCAAAAGTCAATATAGAATTTTAGGACAGTAATTTTAGGAAACTAATTCTGCTAATCGGCAAACTTTCAGTCAGCATCAACTGTTTGATTAATTAACCAGCAAGCTTTAAATGATATGTGATTGGATGCCGTCTGGACTCATTGCAGGAGGTTGGAAACAAAAGGATCCTAGCTAAATTAACATCTCTGTTGGATAATGTCTCCCACCTTATGCATGAAGCTGCAGCACTGGAGAGCTCCTTCAGTGACAGACTGCTGCCCCCTAAATGCACCGAGGTGCGTTATCACGGATCCTTCCTCCCAGCAGCTCGAAGACTCTATAACCACTGTTCCCAACAACCTCTATAAGTTGTTACATATATGCTGATTTTGCACAGCTTCTACCTTAGTTAGTTAAATAACATGCTGCTGTCATTTTTCCCGTCTCTGATGTCGCTGCTATTTTTAAATATCCATTACTGTAATAATATCCAGAGCTGTATATTGGTTATTTATTCTTCAGGTGCAAAGTTTTATATCGTTAAAACACTTTTCAGTACAGTATCTTATTTTTTTATCATTTAACTATTCACTATTATGTTATTCTTATACATTTTTCTAAGGTCCACATTTGTGTGACCATTTTTTTCTATATTCTTTTTGCTCCTGTAAACACAAGAATTTCCTCTTTGCAGGACAAAAAAATGAATTTTCTTTTCTTTTCTGTTCTATTCTATATCACTTCTTTACCAGACACTGGAGATGGGGCGACTTTGGGCTGCAGTCTGTTTCCCTGAGCCATAAAAGGGTTATTCAACCTGCCAACAGAGAAGATCGGTGAGAAAAAAAACCCCACATGGATTCCGAAACAGATCTGTGTTTTATTTACTAACCCAAACGTATTCGGCTCCTCAACTATCTTCATTTTTCCAGCAAGTGTGAGACAGACTGTATGAGGGGGGGGGGGGGGGGAATCGATATCAACGATAAAAATCCAATACAAAAGAAACAACAAAACTGCTTCCTGCAGTTTTAAACATAAATACTCACAGTGAAACGATAAATAAAACAGCCATGTTCTCAATAACCGAGATCTTCTATTAAAGCTACACATGATCGGGATGTTGTTGTTGCATTTCCTGCTCCTTCGCCTGCTGTGTCAGATGTTCGATCACGTGAGCAAAATAAGCCTCTCCGCGCATGCGCAGAGATCTTATTTTGGTCACATGAACATATGACGCAGGAAATAAGCCTCTCCGCGCATGCGCAGTTCAAATGCGCTACAGCGCGGCGTGTTTTCCACCTTGTACAGTTAGCAGGATTTCAAACCTAAATCCAAACATTGGTGAAATTCGAAGGTGATGTTTGAGTTTGTAGAAATCCTACACAAAGACAGGACAGAGACCTTCCTCACGAGAGGAAATATTGAGTTAGTGGTTAGCTAAGAAGTTGCTAAGTGTCATTGCAGTTTGCAACATGGGGAAAAAGAAACAAGGCAAGTTTGTGCGGCCTGACAGTAAGGGCAAAGACAAACGTCACAAAATGAAGGGGAAATCTTTGGAGACTTTTACTGAAGAGATGCACTCTGCCTTTGAAGGTAAAAACAGGTTCAACTAATAATGTGGATATATCAGAAGCATTTTAAATAAGTTAATCCGTAAAGTTTTAGATCTTTAGATGTAAGTTGAGACAGTTTTGTGTGGGGAAATTGTAATGTATATGATGCCTTGGTCAGGGATGATGGAGAAATAAATAAATCCAGAGTGTTATTGGGAGAAATATTCTTTTCCAAGTCTAATTAAGAATTTTATTACTTTCTTGTTAGTAATATGATTGACTTGGGACATTGTAATGATCATTGTCATACACTGTCACAAATATAAAAACAACAAAATTCACTCTCTGCACTTGAGGAGCAGAGGGCTTCCATTGTGCGGCGCCCAGGGAGCAGGGTGGGGGTTAAAGGTCTTGCTCAGGGACCCAGAGTGGAGGCTGAGGGATTGGGACTTGAATTCAGAACCTCTGGGATCGAGAATTAACCATTAGGCCGCCACTCCTCCATATTTTTTCTTAATTGGACATTTGAAATATAAGGCACAATATCCAATCCTATATGTAGCAAGTAAGGATTAATGTATGGTTTGTTTTTAGGTACAGTAATTGGAAAAGTTCTAAAATAGTGTAAAAAAACAATATTAAAAACTCATGTGATTTTCTGGGTGTTTTCTTCCAATATCATTTTTGCAGCCAGTCTTCACGTAGAGGAAGGAGCCGAAGCCCCACAGGTAAAACTGCCTTGTCCGCTTGCTATGTGGGAGTTGGGTCACTGTGATCCAAAACGTTGTACTGGCAGAAAGCTGGTACGGAAGGGCTTTGTGCGAAACCTGCGTCTCAACCAGAGGTTTAATGGACTCATCCTGAGTCCAATGGGCACCAAGTATGTAACGCCAGCAGACAGGTATGTAGATATTCAGCTGCTGTCTGTAGAGTTCCATTTTCAAACATTCAGGGTCTGTTTTGTAAAAAAAGGGTTAAATTGTAAAACAAAAAAGAGTGTGCACCAACACACGGAGGCAGCCATCTGCAGTGCAATCTTAGATTGAGATATAATTAATAGAAATTATCAGTTTATTGAATGGTTGTTTTCTCTGTGTTGCCCTGCGATGGACTGGCGACCTGTCCAGGGTGTACCCCGCCTCTCGCCCGTAGACAGCCGGAGATGGGCACCGGCACCTCTCATGACCCCACTTGGGATTAAGCGTTTCAGAAAATGGATGGATCAGTTTATTTTTAATACTCTTTAATGTATGACTTTCTAAATGTTCATACTAATTTTGATTTATAGAGAAATTGTGGCTCAGAATGGGCTTGCTGTAATTGACTGCTCATGGGCCAAACTGGAGGAGACCCCCTTTAGTAAGATGGTTGGAAGCCACCCCAGGTTGCTGCCGTACCTTGTTGCTGCTAACCCTGTCAACTACGGCAAGCCTTGCAAACTATCCTGTGTGGAAGCTTTCGCTGCCACATTCTGCATTGTTGGTAAGAATTTCTGCTGCGGTCATTGACCAATAAACTACCATATTGCATCACTAAAAACTCACTATCTCTAAGCTGCAGATTCCTATGAGGCTGTTTTTTTGTATTTTCTTGCAGGGTTTGAGGAACTGGCTGTGCTCCTGCTTAAGAAATTCAAGTGGGGGACAGTTTTTCTGACACTCAATAAAGATCTTCTTGACCGCTACGCTGCGTGTCAGTCCGAGGAAGAGCTGCTGTCTGTCGAGAAGGAGTTTCTTACATCTAAACCAGAAGAAGTGGAGTTTGGTAATATAGAGGACTTATATATTATATAGTGGTGGATCATTTCTTATGTAAGCTGTAGTTGGATTTCAGCATAGCTTGTGTAACCTTAAAGCTTACCTGTGTCATGCAAAGCTTCAGTTTTTAAGTTTCCTAAAACAAGATGATATGCCATTTTTAGTATTAAAGCAAAATAATTAACATTTTCTATTCAGATGTCCATTCTTTTTCCTTTGTTTTATAACAGATTACATAATGAATGAGAAAACACTGGTATAGAATAGATGATAGATAAAAAAAAAATCCCAGGCTTAAAAAATGTGAAGAATAAAATGTGGCCATCGTTTTCTAAAATCGATGTGTATTAATAGACCTATTTTCCTTATAAAATTAGATTTGTATTATTTAATATAACACATATAACTAGTAAAGGTAGAGTTTTTTTTAATCTGTTTGTTTTTGCTGAGTCACATTCTCTCTGCTTACAGATCCATTTGATGTTAACTCTGGAGTTGAATGCAGGAATCTCAACAGACCTGTGTGGTAAGCACACTACAGTGATAATTATAGTTAGAAAAAGTGTCAATAAGCATGTTGAAGTATAAAAACCAATATGCACCTAGAGGCTGAAGCTCTAGGTGCATATTGATCTTATGCTACAAATGATCTTTTGTAGCATAAGATCATTTTTTGTATTTTCTTGCAAAAAATGATCTTTTGCTACAAATGTGCACACATATGTAATATACATATGTAATATACATATAATAAAGACACATATGTAATATACATATAATAAAGACATCGTTCTAATCTAATTCAGAAGCAGATGCCCATAGAAAATATTAAAACATTTTTGTTTAGTGCCAGGTCATAAACATTTAATCCTCATTTCTGTGTTTAGTGCTGTTGAAGATGATTATTCCAGTGAGGACAGTGACCCATCAGAAGATGACAAAGACACCTCAGAGGATGAAACCCAAGGAATCAACAATGACTCTGCAGTTTTACAGCATCAAGATGAAGACTGAAACAATGATGTTTCCCAGAAAGGACTAGAAACTGTCTTAAATACTTCCTTTGGAATACTGTAAATAAATGAATGGTATATTGTTTTCAAACCATCGATTAATTGTGTTGAAATTGGGAAATGTGAGCTTTTTTTTTTTTTTATTTAATGCCAGAATCGCCTTCAAATATTCTAGTCATCAGCTACATGAGATTGGGGGAAAGAATGAGAGAAGAAAACTATCCTATAAACCAGGATGTTTGCAGGTCTATTAGTAACAGCAATAAAATCCTGATAAAAAGAGATATGGACATACCAGACAGATTAGGTCTTTCAAACACAGATTAGGCTGTTCATTCTAAAAGATTAGGACTAGTCATTGTTTAACTTCATTTCAGCATTTAAAGTGGCTCCATTTACCGATATTCCTTAAGTAGTTAACAAACAAAATTGTTTACTTTAAAGGATATTTAGTCATGCTTAGTTTAAATTACAAAGTAAAAAAGTCTTAAGCTTTGTGTCTGCGTATTTGAAGCAAACCAAGGATTGCTTACTATCTGGGGGAGGAAGCTATCCACAATCAGAGAAACCTCTCAGAAGTGATCAGCCCTTCCAAAATGGTTTAGAGAGCACATCAGTGACTCATCTATGAGGTCACAAAACAACATTTAAGCTCTTCATCTGTTAAGGTCAGTGTTCATGATTCATCGTTTAGATTATGATGCACTAGTGGATGGTCAGAATGTCATCAACTGGATGGTTTCAAGTTAAAAACAACTGCCCACAAAAAATTTAATTGCCATGATGTATAAAAGCATGAATTGTACTTTGTGAATTCTGAAGGGAAGGTTTGTGAGTTTAGAGTGGCCTAATCAAAGTAATATAATCAGTTCCTTCAAAAGCCTCAGATGTAAGACAGTAGAATAGATCAGGGATCTCCTTTGTTGTTTCAGTTGGAAAATAAAGGTTTAACCGCAGCAAAATGGCAGGTAAATGGAAGTTATCAGTACAAAGGGTAAGGAATTAATATAAAACTAAAATGTGAGAACAACATTGTACAGTAAAATATTTGCAGCTTTGATTTTATTTACTTTTAGGGTTAGTAAAGTTTGAATTGAACAAACTAAAACCTTAGAATAGGATGAATTTACAGGAGAATAAAACTATAAAAACAGCAGGGATGCAAACAACTTAATGCTTTTCTTGAATCAATTCTGCTTTGAACAGTGAGTTACATCGGTATAAAAGATTCATTTTGTGCTATTTTGGCTAAGGGAGGTAAAAGTAGTTTTCACCAGTGGAGTTTTTATGCCAAATTTATTAAGAGGCAAGCATGTTTTGTTTTTGTTTTTTCTTTATGGGGGCACAGAGAAGCATGAAACAAAAAACACAGAAATAGTCAATCATTTGAAATCTTTTAAGAGAGCAGCATTACCAAAGAGTTACTTGTGGCTCTGCACTGAATGGGGTGAAATGTCCACATCATTTACTTGAATAAGAATTTAATGTTCTGATGAAAATGTTAGGTTTATTTGCCCATAGTTGGGGGGAAAAAATATATAACCATGAAACAAAGCAAATGAAAGAATTAGTTTACTTTCTTAATTCAGGAATAAAACATATTTTTGACATTCATAGTTAGAACTCAAGTTAAAATGATAAATTCAGCTTTAAACAAATTAGAGTATTTTGTATTTCATTTAAAATAACATTTAGCAGATAAAACCTCTGATCCTATCTCATTACGACCAGAGGCGTAGCTAGAAAATGTTTATAAGGGTGGCCAGGCAATAACCAATGTACACTGAGGGGTGGCTGATAGTGGATAGGTGCCAGAACCTCAGGGTCAAACCAAAGATAAGATAAACTATACTTTCCTACAGCCTTTGCTAACAAATAGACGCATATATTTAAACTTTCTAGATAAAAGGTATAGTGGATAAAATTCTTTCAGGTTTGAGTACTGGGGCAAAAATCTTTTCAATTGTCATTACTTACCTACTTTTATCAATAATCATTTTGCATAAAATTCTTATTTACAAGTATTAATATCTACACAAATTTATTATGTAATACATTTTTATGAGAATAGTTATCTATCTCTGATTTCACTGAAGACTCCTAGATGACTTGCATTTTCTCTTTACCCCATATAAGACAAAATCTACTTCTGAAAAGAACAAGAATTCTGCACTTATCTCTAATGTTAGTATATGAATGTGCATAATTAACCACAGCGTTTTTGTTATCAGGTAATTTTGAATATATGAAAAAATAGTAAGTAACGTATGAAAAATTTTAATGTTTTGAATATTCCACTTGAGAGTATTATTGCTGCCACCATCTGTATTAGAGGGAAAAAATGGTAAGGGTGGCCCAATGGCGTAACTGTCGGTAAACAGTGCACTATGCAATTGTGAACTAGAACGTCTCTTTGTAGATGTATTGGTGAGAAAAATTCCTCTGAAACCCACCTGATACTAGATTGACTGACCGGACCTTATTTATACCCCAACACATGGCAGATTTCTACATGATGGTGAGCCGTTTTAAACACGACGCCAATAGCAAAGCAGACAGTGGTACTTTTAATTACTATGTTAATAACTGTGTATACAAGAACAATGTATTTGAGTATTTTATTTTTTACCGATACGACTTGGAATTACGGGTAATCCAGAGCATAGATTGTAACCATAACCGTTACGTACAATGTTTTAGCGACGATGAATACCAAAAGTGAGTGAAGATTGCGACTGTTGTTGTACTTCATATGGGGCCCACCCAGATAATGTTGCTTACGGGCCTATTGTTGTGTCGTTAAGGCATTGAGGTGGCCACAGGGGTGGCCAATGATTGGCTAAGGGTGGCCATGGCCACCCCTGGCCCCCCTTCTAGCTCCGCCACTGATTACGACTAAAGCGATCACCTTAATTACAGATTATAATTAACAGAATTGTAAATAAAAAAAAAGATAAATGGGTAAAAGGGGCCAATAATCACATTGCGTTTCAGTGCATATCAAATAAAATGTTGTTTTAGCATTATGTCTTCATTACAGGGGTCAGGACCCTTGGGGCCACTGTCCCTCGTCTAGAATTGCCCAGTGTTAGTCGGTTTTCTGTTTAAACTAAATGAACTACAAGTCATATAGATATTTCATTATTCAGGTTATTTTTTAAAACAAGTGTATTTGACTATCTGAAACATTTTTCAGAAAGGTAAAAAAAAAAAAGTCTCTTGAAAGGTGACACTGTTTGCTTCTTCATTTTTTCGTGTATACATGCAAACATATTTTTTAAATGCATCTAAGTTCCCGAACAGTTTTCGGGCCGCATGGTGTGTTTAATATGAATAAGAGAAACCGTTTTAGTGCAGCTTTGTGAAGTTCAGCGAGTTGTTGCTGTGGCGGTGGGGGCGGACACGGACACGGCAGGACTCTCCTCTGCTGTCCTGCGGTAACATTGTTGTGGAACGACGTCACACCTCGAAAATGAAGGCACGGAGGCAGCCATTACTGGAGCTTCTCTAATTATTTTATTCCAAATAAATACTCCAGGAAAACTCCCATGGCAAGAGCTACAAGTCAGATGGTAGGTGTTAAAACTTTAAAAGAATGGGTGTTCGAAGCCGGTGCGCGGATTGTGGCGTATAGCAGCTGTATCATAAGAAGTAGTTATCCGCGGCCTTCGTCTGAGGTGGCTGTAAAATATCACTCTGACTCACTAGCATCGTTAGCTTAGTAGTGTTTGAACTATCTGAGTCGTCTTGGTTTTAGGGTTAGTTTATGGCGACATGTTTTTTGATAACCCCTTTAGTAAACAATTCTTGGGAAAGATGGATACGTTTGGTTTTAAGCTATGTCAGACCAGCACCTCCTTGTCCAAGAATGGACGGTTAGTGTTAGCGTAGGTTCGCGCTTTCGACCGATGCTCCAATTGCTAGCAAGCTAAAGTTAGCTCCCTTACGTCCCACCTTCCGTTTGAAGGTACTTTGCTTCTGATAACGTTGCGTTTTTCGATTGCCAGCTTTAAAATGTCGACAAAGCAGCTCACAAACGTTACAGAACGCGATTCGGAACTAATGTCTGAACAGAAATGAGGGGTTTGAAGTCATTTGCTTTACTTAGCTTGGCTAATTGACTGTTAGCGTTAAGTTTGTAACTTGCTGTCCGTTATGGCCGGTGTTTTGGCGAATAAAGGACCACGGCCGTTCAAAGTACAACCGTGATGGCAAGATCATTTGATTGCAAATACATTCAAGTACTGATCGAAGTTTAAAGTGAAATTACGACGTTGTGTTGTTTTATTTTAGTCAGGCAAGCGCCGGGAACACGTTTATCCAATTTTCAATATCCAATATTTACCAAGTTATTGTTTTGGCAGCTTGGATGTACTTTTCTACAGGGGTGTCATGTTTTTAAACACCGGCTTTATTTGATAAGACGAGTAAATGCTAATGCTAGCCGGCTAGCAACGTTTGTTTTACCGAGGAAAGTTCGCCTATGCTAGTAGTCACCAAAGTGCGCATGGTTAGGAAAATGTTGGTTAACATTGTTTACCAGCCGTTATATTCACCGACTTAATAACAATGGGTTTCGAGGCAGTTTCACGGACAGTTGGCAATAATAGACTCAACTCCGGAATTGGCAGCTGAAAGGCCACACCTTACTTTTATACGAGAAGAAGCTAAACCAGTTGCTTAGCTTATCTTAGCTTCTGAGCTAAAAGCCGAAAAATAGTAATAGTTGCTGTTGTTCCACATGTTACAGATAGCCGTAGCTGAAATACAAGTCAATAAAGTTGGTTAGATTCTACCATAAATTATTTCGTGTGGTCCATGAAATATGTCTGTTTTCACATTTAGTTTCGTTCAAGTTGTGCAAAAACAAAAAGAAAATCTGTAAATATGAGTTAAGCTAGGTTGTTGTAAGTTGCTGCTGCCCTACAAAAAATAACTTTGACATAGTTTTTACAACTGAATCACCAAAGGGTGGGACCAGCAAGCAGTGAAACTGCTTCTTGGTAGTCAGGAGTTTATCAACATCAGACTTTGCCCCTCTGTTCTGTCAGTTTGAAGTCCTACGTTTAGGTTTGTAATACTACACAGAGTGTAAATTGTTCAGTTTTTGTCATGTGTTTATAAGACATTGATCATCGTTGTCTGTATGATCTAAATCATTTTCTTTTCCTCTTGTACATGAATTAAGAATGATATTGACTTTCTACCCATGTCAGCTTAATAGCATTGTATTTAGTGCACAACTTCTGCATGTTTTTAAAATATTATGTATAACAGGGATAAACTAGTTTTATTTTTAATATTCAGTGACCTTCAGTCAATCCGTTTAATTACTTGTAAAACACGAGCGTGTACAGCCAACCACTAAAATCTTAATGTATGTTGTGCATTTCTAAAATTCTACTAGATATGCTTCATTGGCTTGACTGATATGGGTTTGTTTTGTTAGTTTTTTTTTTTCTTTCTCAAAGGATCAAAAAAACATAAAAAATGAAAGCAAAAGGCTTTGTATGAATATCTGCATTTATGCACCAAAAAATGCAAAACATTTTATCTGATTATTAATTGACTTTTAAAAGAGTGGAGTTTAAGTTGTTGGTCATTAAGAGTTTATTTAGTTTTGATGCATTTATTGAACAGGAGGAAGAATAAAATTAACCCGTTGATAGTCATAGATGATCAAGGGTATTTTAATATCTGCTGAGTTAAGTACTGTTTCTTTAAATGCATTGAACTCCAGAAGTACCAACCTGTTGCAGTTTAGGATTTATGTATATTATATTTACTAAGGCTGCAAGATATTTGGAAAATGGAGAGATTGTTGCATTGATGTGGCTATCGAGACAATCTACCTAGTAAAATACATTATTGGTGAGAAGAGTTGGGAGTGTTTAAGACATGAATAATGCACCCTACCAAATAGTCCTCTGTAATTGTGATGTTGTTATTGTGATGACAAATGCTTTCCAGCATTGTAAAGCTGTACTTTTCTTTACCAAACTCGGCACAGATTTTTGCCAAGAAGCATGCAGAAGGCTGTTATTTCTTCTAGGGGATAAGCAGCTTCTAGAAAACCTTTTGTTCTCGAGGTCACAGTTCAAATTAAAGGCTATGTCTTCAATACTCTCTACTTTGATTTATTTACAGTGGTGAGAAATGAATTGCTTCAAGTCTGTACTTGATTTCTAGAGAGATTTGCACACTTTTATTAGATGAGAATAACTTTTCTTTGAAGTTTGGAATTTATAAAAACGAAGCAAAAACAGCTGGCTTAAGTATATATATAGGTTGATATCTCCATCTGCATCACCTTGCTGATTTGACTATCTTCTTTTGACTATCTTCTGTTGTTCCAGTATGATGTTGTGCCCATTCAGCCCAACGTTGCCATCTGTTCCTGCTCACATCCATCAATGGCCAGAAACCACCCCGACTCCTGTTCGCCACTTGCTATCCCAAGCGCAAGCAGCAGTCACTGCCCCAGCATGGAGGGCTCAGCGTCACAGACTAATGCTGTAGGAGCGTCTGGCAGCACCCAGAGCTTGGACGTCCGCGCACAGCCGGCAGTCCAGACCCCTCAGCCACGCAAGAAGAAGCCGGAGGATTTCAAGTTTGGCAAGATACTGGGAGAGGGCTCCTTCTCAACGGTAGAGCAGTTGAATTCCTCTCTCTGTCTTTGAATCATACTGTGGTAGCTGTTACTACACGTTAGCATTCTTTTGATTAATGTTCTTGGATGAGTAATCCTGGGTTCATCAGTTAAATTGTTCCAAAAGATTTTTAACTCTAACTTCGTAAGCACAACCTCTAATTTGCTAATTTTTTCCCCTCCTTTTTTGTTCTTCAGGTCGCTCTGGGAAGAGAGTTGGCCACAGGGAAAGAATATGCAAGTCAGTAAAAATCCCCCCAATATTTTGTATATTATTTTGATGCTTTAATTAAGATGGATGAATTGTTAAGCAAATATTGAATAGTGATTTTTATTTCCATTTTGTCTATCCAACAGTTAAGATTTTAGAGAAGCGGCACATTATGAAGGAGAACAAGGTCCAGTACGTGAAAAGAGAAAGAGATTTGATGTCAAATCTTGATCACCCATTCTTTGTAAAGCTCTATTTCACGTTTCAAGATGATGAGAAGTTGTGTATCCTTTCAAAATGACCATGGATTGTTTTTAGAAATGCACTGAGAGCTCTTGATCCATACTTCTGTATAGCTTTGACCTGCTTTCCCTGACTTTTTCTTTCTAAACTCATTTTTCTAGGCTCGCTGCCAGGAGCAGCTAATAGTTATTTATGCTGTAAACTGATATATGACTGTATGAGAGATGAGTCATTGTGTAAAACTGGCCTTTTACTACTATGAGGCATGAAAATTACAGAATTGACATTTTAAGCTTTCATTAATATCTCATATTAGCATTAGGCCTGGTTAGCAGTAGGAACTGACACTAGGGCTGTGTGTGCTTCCTAGGCAATGAAGATTTTATCTTAACTCTGGGATTTCCAAAAGGATTGAACATCACATCATTTACTTTTATACATTCAGCCCTTCTGTTATCCACCAAAATCTTATTTCCTGTGTTAAAGTAGAACTCGGATTGATCAGCCATCAGTCCTGCTTGGCAAAAAGCTTCCTTAAATGGAAACTGCATTTTTAAATCACTATTTGCCCTCCCTCTGACTTTTTTTTAAATAACGCACTCGAACTAACTTTAATTCCTCTTCCTTAAATGAAAATGTACACACTAAAGAGGGTTTATTTGTTGGTACAACTTGTTGCTTAGTTTTGTTTATGAAGCTTTTTAGGTTCTGACCATCGCTCAGAGCTGATAGAGAAGAAAGTTATCAGTTGCAAGTAGATTTCTATTTCCCTCTGGTTGATTTGTTTCACTAGAACAGATGTATCATTGAATAAAGGCTTTCCTTAACAGACTTTTTGTAGATTTTGGTCTAAGCTATGCTAAGAATGGTGAACTCCTAAAATACATTCGCAAAATTGGTTCATTTGATGAGACCTGTACGCGGTTCTACTCAGCGGAAATAGTTTGTGCTCTAGAATACTTACACAAAAAGGGCATAATTCACAGGTAAGGATTTGTTCTTTGTATTCTCTAGTTTTCTTTAACCCTGTAATTTTAATCTAATAAGTTTTATTGTTTTTTTTTTCTGATTTATTTTAGAGATCTGAAACCAGAAAATATTCTTTTGAATGAGGAGATGCACATCCAGATAACAGATTTTGGGACAGCAAAACAATTATCATCTGAGAGTAAACAAGGTATAATCACAATTAATGTTATTATTTATATATGACATATCTTTATTTTGAAACCCGTTATTTGTCCATTTTATTTCAAATCTCTAGTGTCAAATTTTATTATACAAGATAGCTGTATTTAAAAAATCAACCTGCGGAGATATCTAGTTCAAGCTCTTGTTCATGCTGCGTTTTAAAGGCCATCTATTTTAAACTCAAAGGTTCTTGACATTATGAGTTAAAGGTAAAATGATTGATTGCCCTTAAACAGATGCCATTCCCATCTTTCATGTCCTCGTATAGTTTGTGTTTATGGTAAAATTTGAGATATTATTAGACCTTCACAAAAATCCTTTTTTTTTTTCTTCTTGTCTCTGTTTTTATACACACCATTTTGCAGCAAGAGCAAACTCTTTTGTTGGAACAGCACAGTATGTCTCTCCAGAGCTGCTAACGGAAAAATCAGCTTGCAAGAGGTACACTTTATGAATGTTAATTTATTTTATCCAGATATGAGCTTAAATCTGAATGCAAAATAATTTTTTGTTTGTTTGTTTATTTACAGCTCTGATCTTTGGGCTTTGGGGTGTATTATCTATCAGCTGGTGGCTGGTTTACCACCATTCAGAGCTGGGTAAGAACCTTCTGAAAGTTCAGTTCTTAACAAAAATATTTTATTTGAAATGCACATTGCTTATGACTAGGCCTTCTTTCCACTCTTGGTCTAAAATTTGAGGAAAGAAGGGAAACCTCTTGTTATTAGCCTATGATTATAATCTTTTGTTTGTTTTTATTTTTAACATGTTGTTCTGTTCTGTTATAGAAATGAATACCTAATATTCCAGAAAATAATAAAGCTGGAGTATGAGTTTCCAGAAAAATTCTTCCCCAAAGCTAAGGATCTCGTTGAACAGCTTTTGGTAAGTCATTTATTTTCTCTAAACTCTGCCAGAAACATGATGTACATCCTGTGTCTTTTATGGGCCTGTTTATAGAAGGTAAATACTGTTTACTCTAAGTTTGTTTTGTTGTGCGATTTCTACCTTCAGTCGTTGGACCCATCCAAGCGGCTTGGTTGTGAAGAGATGGGAGGGTACGACCCGCTTAAGCAGCATCCCTTCTTTGACACCATTTCATGGAGTGATTTACACCTACAGACACCCCCTAAGCTCACACCCTACCTGCCAGCTATGTCTGAAGATGATGAAGACTGCTATGGAAATGTGAGGTTTCTCTTCATAGCGCTACAAACCAAAATAAACTCCTTATTGGAATACATACTGACACCTTTGAATCACTCGCAAATGGAATACCAGCTGTTGATATACTTTATCCTCTGTAACATCATGAATTCTAGTATGATGACCTCCTGAGCCAGTTCAGCAACATGCAGGTGGCCCCGTCCAGCTCATCACACTCCTTGTCGCCACATGATTCTGCGCCTCCTCAGAGATCCAGCAGCAACATAGAACAGTACATTCATGACCTGGACAACAACTCCTTTGAGCTGGATCTGCAGTTCACCGATGAAGAAAAGAAATTGCTGCTGGACAAACAGACCAATGGGAACCCTTGGTAAATTTCTTATTGGAAAGTGTGTGTGTGTTCTTTTTCAGGTTAGCTCGTTTCAAAAATGTGAAGGAAAATATTTTGGGATGCGATCTGTCGACTTGTCTAGCCACCACTTTGTCTATCTTGGACAAAAAGTTGAGAGTTGGTGTTTTATTTGCCTTTTCTTCTTTTCTACTCAGGCATCAGTTTGTGGAGAATAATCTGATCCTGAAAATGGGGCCTGTGGATAAACGGAAGGTGTGTATTTATTTTTCCGCAGCTGTTTTCTGAGGTTCTTACTGATAAGAACCTTAATAAGATTTTACTTATATTTTCTCCTTAAAAAAAAAATGGTAGGAATATTATGAATTTCAAAATTATGTGTTATACGAGTTAGGTTTCCTGAAGAGATTTGTTTCAAATCGGTGAGCTGCAGCCATTCAGATGCCTAGAAAGAAGTGTGCATTTCTCCTTTTTATGTTCTAATACCATGAAATGTAGTGATTAAAAATATAAATCCGTAACTTTTTAACATTTTTTTTTTGTGTATCCTGTCTGGAATGTGGCAATAGGAATTGTTGTATTAATGCCAGAAAGAGACCCACTGATTTTACTCTTACAGGTAGAGCATTATCGCTTATATATGTAAATAGTTTTATTATAGTTTATGTAGGGAATAATTCATGTTATATGGACACTACAAAAAAGGGAAAAAAGGTGAAAAAAAGACAAAAGAGAGATGGATAAAACTTCATCAGTCTGCCTCATCACCTCCAAAGACGGATGTAAAAAGAACGGCACGATCAACTGATATAACTACAGATACAATAGAGCAACATACAGTATTAATCAATACAGAATACATAAAGTGGTTGCTGAAGATAAAATTGGGGAGTGTGTAAGCCAAAATCCATATCCATATCTTAAAGTATCGATTCTGAAAACTACCTTTGCCCTACATGTTAGGAAACAGTGAGGATGTTCTTACAGGCTTCATGTCCCCCTCTGTTGGTGAACTGATGTCTTGAAATGTTTTGATATCATCTCAGGGTCTGTTTGCACGTCGGAGACAGCTGCTCCTTACAGAAGGACCACACCTTTATTATGTGGATCCTGTAAACAGGGTCCTGAAAGGGGAGATTCCTTGGTCCTCCGAGTTACGCCCTGAGGCCAAAAACTTCAAAACCTTCTTTGTTCACACGGTAAATAATGGTTTATTTCTGTTGTCTGCAAGTTTTCAGATTAAAATAATTCATTCCCTGGACAGTGTTCACCTGACTTTGTCGTTCCCTCTGCTTTTAGCCTAACCGGACATACTATCTGATGGACCCCAGCGGAAATGCCGACAGATGGTGCAAGAAGATCCAGGAAGTGTGGAGAAAGATCTATCAGAGGCACCAAAACCCGGGCCTATAGGAGCATAATCCATTCTGTGCCCATTCATTTTTAGCTCTGAGGCCAATCACTGAGCAGAGTAACACCCTCTTTAGTGCCCTTCATCACAGCAATGTAAACAAACTCTTAGAGACGCTGGCATCTAGACCTTGTTTGTTTTCCTGAGTAGATCCATGGGAAAATACAACTTTGGATTCAGGGTTGCTTTGCTTGTTCTTTGTGCTCTCTCTGAGGCTTCTATTGCATTTTCCATGTATGGATGATAAGACTTCCACAATGAACGTCTGCATTTTGTACATTCTGCTTTGGGCTTGGGGGTGGGGTGGCAGAGAGGATGGGCAAGCTTATCTTGTATGGTGACATAAGCTTGGGTACTGCTAGGACTATCCTGAATGCAAGGACTGGTTTCCTGCTTCATTGATAACAGAGTTATGCTTTTATGAACCAGAGCCAGACCAGATATCTTTAATTAAACCATATCCTAATCATACATTATATGTGCGAGTTGTTGTAAAGCCCAACTTTTAGTGCATTTACTCTCTAGTGACAGATACTGTAAACTGATTCAGTCTCACACTTATTCAGCTCAAAACCCTGTTATTTTTTACCTCCCTATGTCGGAGCTCATCTATTCCCTTGGTGTTGGAGTTGTTTTTCAGTCTCTTGGTACTTGCTTATTGCAGTCCAATTAAGGTCTCTGAGTAACAAAGCAGAGTAACTGGTCTGTAGTGAGAAATGGGTCTGAACCATTATGAGAATGAGCCTTCCATAGCTGTTACGAAGCTTTTTTTTTTTTTTTTTTGGTATTTGGGTGGGTAAACATGCCACTAACTTGTACACCTTCTCTCTATCTTGCTTATCTTTCCTGCATGGCCAGTTTTGTTGCTATGGCTTTTCTCTTCTGGGCACTGGAGATGTAGTTTTAAGTTAAAATGGGATTTCTTGCTGCATTGGCAACCGTTGCGAAATTTGGATGTCTTGTTTTTTGTTTGTTTCATTTTACTGGCTCTTGTGGTGTGAATTCTCCTAAATTCCTTTCTGATGGAATACATGGCTCATCTTCAGTTTGTCTCACTGAAAAATAAAATCTCATGTGCTGACCACCCCATGCTGAACAGAAAACCTCCACAAACAGAGATGCATACACGTGCTATCATCCTCGGAAGCAATCAGAAAAAGCTGTCATCCCTGGACAAGATGGCATAACTGCCTCATGGGGCCCTTACATTTTATTTTTATTATCTTTGATTTTTGATTTCACTGTTTTTGGCCCAATAGAAATTAAAGCGAATGAATTATTTTTTTTTTTTTTCTTTTAGAAATCTGTATAATCATCATTTGTTTTTAATTTTTGACGTCGTACCTTAAGGTCCTTTCCAAAGGCCCCTCTTCCTTCAGCTGAGTCTGTGTGCAGTGTGTGACTGGAGTCTAAGTGAACAGCACCCTGGAGCTAAACCGGGGCTGGATGTGGTTGGATTTCATTTAGAGGATATTCATCTGATCCAAATAAACCGCTGAAATTGCTGTATCTGTCTGTAAAGTCGAGGGAACACCAGAGGAGTGTTTTTCCTCCTGATTTAATAAAAATTAGAAAAAACCCTATTCTGAATCAAGTCGATGGCAGTCGGTTACGTCATGTATGAAATACTTTACCTGGCTTGTAACTGACCAGAACTGTGATGTACAGATGATGTATTATTAAATCTGAAGCGAGTAATGCAATGATATTAGGATACAGTTTTTGTATTATTTTTTTTTCTTGTATAAGGTTATTGATGGCTATTGTTTAGCCTATAGTTCATTCTGTGTTATTTAAATTCTAATATATGAATCATATTTGGATTGAAGTCATGTTCAGGGGCCATGTTGTGTATGTATTGAGATGTAAAGCCTTTGAATGTGAATAATTATTGTAAACTATAATATTTTACAGCTTTTTTCTTACTATATCATACATTTTCTATTTGCTCAGTGACTTAATCATATTCTGATAATTTAATGAATCTGTTCATTCTCTCTCTGATTATTTGTGCGCTAGGTCAGTAGATGTTGAATGATGAATTTTCCACTTAATGCTTGGTAGTCCAGTAATTAAAGCATGTAGGGATGTAGGCATTCAAAAGAAAGCCGTGTGTCTTGTCTTCTGTTTAACAACCTCCACCATGACACTGAACAGAGTTCAGTAGTGATGACGTCTGACATTTCTGCAGCATGTAAATAAAGTACCGACCCATTATCTGTGCCCTGGTGTTGTGAAAGTCCATTTAAAACTCACAGGAGAATTTGTAAATCTGTCTGGTTTAAGAGGCGGAGGAGCATTCCTTGTGTTACAGTCCCTATATAGGTTTGTTTTAAAGAGCTTTAAGGATGTCACTTGTTGATGTTTAGATCTGATTCACTTGGCCTGTTCTGTTTTTTTGAGTTCCCCCACATTAGGCATCAGAAGACCAAACTGGAAACTATGGTCTCACCCAAACCTGAGGTGTTAACCTCTTCCTGATGAGAATATAAGGGAAGTTTTGCACATTTCAGTCACAAAGTTAAAGGTCTTGTACATAGACAACACTATGCCTAATAAATAAAACGAACTAAAACTAATCTGATATATCTGCTCAAAACAAATGAAACTAAACAAGGGGGTGTTTAACCTTGAATAAGCTATTTAGGGTTTCAGCATTAGTGTCCTACTTGGGAGTTTGTTTCAGATAAATGATGCCTATCGAGCTAACATTGCTTCCCCTTATTTGATTCTAGTAAACGAGTAAACTTAAGCCTGAAGACGGGAGGTTAAGCTGTTGATAAACTGAAAAGTCTGTAATGTATTTTAATGCAAAGCCCTTAACAAAAGTAGTTTAAAGTCTATTCTCTGAGATTCGGGTGCAACTGAAAGGACTTTAAAATTTGGCCCATGTTCTCCACTGACTCAGTTTTGGTGAGGATGTAGGCAGCTGCATTCTGCATCATCCGCAGCCATCATTTTAGGCAGAGCTGTGAGGACGTCATTGCAGTAATCACGTCTACTAAAGATACATGTCTAAATAAGACTTAAATCCTATATGTTCTTCAGGTGAAAGAAGACTGACTTTGTTACTCTTTATATCTGCCTTTGAAGGTTCAGGTTTTAAGACTGGTGATCTCTCGCTTCATTAACTGACACTACATGTACTAACTTTAAAATGTCGCTAATTTGGTCCAATATATTACATTTTGTTTTTACTCAGCTGAAGTACATTTTAGCATATTGATGCGCTTATTTCTTTGTTTATTTGAACAGCACTGGATTGGGTTCAGTCACCTATTGACAAAATGTCACCAGGTGCATTGTTATGATAACTTATATGTGTTATAACTTGAGCTAAAGAGGAGCCTGTACCAAATAGGAAGCACCGCATGTAGCCGATGTAAAGTTACTCAAGACATAAATAAAAGTCTCCTTCAAAAAAAGACGAATCACTCAAGCTCTGTATGAGAAAGGTCAACCCATTTTCACAGGCACTCCTGACAAAAAGGAGGAGTTCATTCTTTAAGATCAATCAGGCACAATGAAAGCCAAAAACAACATTTTAGTTGTTTATTATTTCTTCCAAGGTTTTGCAGTATTTGGCAGAATTTTGTCAAAATGTGTTCTGACTGGACACAACGCTGCTACTGGACGTGATATACCATTTTACAGATTATCTTTCTAGTCCTCTGAATTTACTCACTATATAACCAAATTGGTTACAGGCCGTGGTAGAGTGGTGTTCAGATGCTACAGTTACAGGAGGGTTTGTTAACCTGTCGACCATTGCAAATGAGGCACGAGCATCATTAATGCTTTGTAAATGAGCTGGTGGAGCGTTTCTGCATGGAGATTGATGGGAACAATTTAATCAATTATGTATGAAGTTCTACAGTTAAGGCTATAGACCAGCTAATCTACTGAGTTACATGGCGAAGTGTAAGAAGAAGTAAAATCTTGTGTGAAGGTTTCAGTAGCACTGTTATAAAAAAAAAGTTTTCTTTAAGCGTTTCTTTGGCTAATTGAGTTGGTGGGAATTCTACTTTTAAAAATACAACGAAATAGATATCAGAGTGTGTGTAAGGAACTGAGATAGTGGACTCTTTAAAGTAACCAGTTGTTCAGACAGAACCAAAACTGATTTTCTTTAAAGGAAGGTTCAGAATCTACCAGCTAAGGTGTCTGAGATCTTTAGGAAGGGGCGCTTCTTTTTCTCTGTTAGAATGAGCCGTCTTCCATGTTGCATTTTGTTGGAGCAGAAGATCATCTACAACAAGGAGGAAGTGGTGGGATAAACTCATCAGGAAAGCAAACTCTGTCCTGTAACATCAACCCAGAGCAGCTGGTGGGAGTCAAGAGGACTCTGGCAAAAGTAACATCACTGATGGGAGTGGTGGCCTAATGGTTAGAAAGCAAGGCATCTACATCTTAGAAAAGCCACAAGTTTGCTGGTTAATGGCTCACTCTGGCTCCCAGATCATGACCCTTAACCCTGCAATGCTCCCTGCACGTAGCAACCTGCTCACTGCTCTCATAAGAAATGCAGAGCTAACTTTTTGTTGTTGTGCACAAATGCATAATATATACTGTTCTTTTATTTTTTTGTTCACAAATGAGAGGAAGATGGAGTGGGAGATTGATAGGCGGATTGGTGTGTCGTCTGCTGTGAAGCGTGCACTGTACCGGTCTGTTGTGGTGAAGAGAGAGCTAAGCCAAAAAGCAAACCTTTTGATTTATCGGTCGATCTACGTTCCTACCCTCATCTATGGTCTTGAGCTTTGGGTCATGATTGAAAGAANGATCCTGGATGGATGGATGGATGGATGGATGGATGGATGGATGGATGGATGGATGGATGGATGGATGGATGGATGGATGGATGGGAGAGCTCCCTCTAATGACAGACAACTGCATCCTAGGTGCACAAAGGAGCACCATTGCGCATCCTTCCTCCTAGCAGCGAGTTTGCAATACCTGCTCCCATAAAACCATACTTCCAGGCTGTCTTGCAGTTCTTTCATTGTTGTAAATTGTTTTTTCGTGTTAATTAACAAAATATTCAGGGTTGCACACTTTTTTAGATTGTTGATCATGCTATTTTTTAGTAACAAAGAGTCATACAATATTTTTTCTAAAGTAAAAAAATAGCTTTTACTGCACAGCCTTGTATCCACACTTTTTATTGCAATACTTTTTGTTTCAATACATTTTTCAATTTGCTGCTCCTGAAATCCCACTTTGAGGGATAGTCGTTAAAGGATATCTTCTGTCCTATTTTTTAATTAATTAATTTGTTATATTTTAGGGGATGTGGAAGGGTTCAATCTGTTTTCTTTTGTTATTATTATGTCTTAAAAGCAATGTAAACATGAATGCGTGTGTGTTTAAATAGGCTGAGGATGGAGCTGGGTAGGAGTGGCCGTAGAGTTTGCAGCCAGTTTTGCAGGAGTCGTGGACTGGCTCGCAGTCGGTGGCTGAGGCAGCGTCGATATTTCCTGTCAGCAGCTCAGAGCAGAGCCGAAGCGAGGGCGGAGGAGGCGAGGCGTGGAGCGGAGCGGAGAGGAGAGGGATGGCAGAGAACAGCTCCGAGACAAGCGGCTCCGTTCCTCGGAGATGTCCGACCCATTCTTCCCCGGGGGAGAGAAATGCTTCAGCGGGTGTCGGAGCTTCCAAATGGATACGGTTAAATGTTGGGGGGACGTATTTTTTAACGACAAGACAGACGCTGTGTCGAGACCCCAAATCATTTCTGTACAGACTGAGCCAAGCGGATCCCGAACTCGACTCGGACAAGGTACATGCTAAGCTAGCTCGGCTAGATAGGGCTGTGGTTCAGAAAGCCGTTTGCTTTGCAGTAAACGTGTCTTTATTTGCTATATAAATTTTGTAACGACATTAAAGTAATTTGCACTTTTTATTTCACGTTAATTAAGACAAAGTTACTATTAAGGTGATGCTTAATCGAATTGTTGGTACTAGCTAGCATTAGCCGTTAGCTAGATTCCGACAGTCACCACATGACATAATGCTGCTAGCTTGCTCTTTGTTGTTTGCTTTTTCTCACCAAAAGTTATAACGTCTCGCTTTTTGATATCTAAAAAAATTTAATTCTTATTTCCAATTGTTTGAGTGTTTAATGTTTCATCCAGCCTCTATTTTAAAAGAAGCTTCGTCGGATAAAAGTTTTCTCGGTCGGTAACATCTAGGTGTCAAATAGTGACAGTATAATTTGACCTATTTTTTATTTTTTTTTAATCACCAGATTAATTTTAATCTATTAAAATAAATCACTCCCAGAAAGCTTTAGATGTATCCCCCAGCTATTGTAGTGATATCTTTTGGATGTTATATGCAGTCATATGAATGATTGCCTAATTGAGTAATAAATAATGAGCTTTTGGCTCAGGTTGCTCTTTGGGGAAGTCATCATCTATTTTACAGCTTTCAACAATTTCAATCCTATTTATATCCAAATAAAAATTAACTCTGTATATCCTGTCTTATATAAAATATTTTACAAATTAAGAACCTTTTTTCTGTTTGGAATAACAGAGATTTTGCAGTATTTCTCACCACTGAGCAGATGTCTGGTTTTAAAACTACACAATAAATAAAGGTTCTCTAGCCGGTATTGTTTTATTATGACATATTATAAAAAATAAAAAAAATTATTTAGTAAACTTTTGATAATCCCATAAAATCTTAGGAAGTTTAATCTTTGAGGTATTTTAAAATTTAAGATGACCTTAGAAAAGCCTCATGAATACACTTTATTGAAACTTTACATATCTATCAATTCTTTAAATATTGCAAAATTATTACATTTACCATTAGGCTCAAATAGCTCGATCCAGATTTAGGTACTGTAGTGTTTAAGATGAGACATTTGTTAAATTACCTCTATTAAAGACGATATATTTTTTCATGTATTTGAGTTAAGTTCATGTTTTATAATTCAGTAGTGATGTTCTATTGATTACCTAATGATTGTAGTATATCAGTTTTTTAGATTTGAATTTAAGTAGGGGTGTAAATAATCGTTTTGTATTGATGCATCGATCCCACAGCCGACGATCCGATGCATCGACGCGTCTGCAAGAGTATCGATTCATGTGTTTTGTTTTGTTTTTCTTCCGGTCTGTTTTTATCCATTTTCTCCTAGACGTAATTCTGAATCCTGTGCTGTGGTGGCGCTAAACCAATTTTGCCTTCCTACCTCGCTTCCTTTAGCCATTACCCTCTTTCCGCTTGCACACACACTCGCTTAAACACAGAGGCGTTATTATTTTTCAGTGAATGAGGTTTTCATAGGCGTAGGTAGAGTACAACTTTGCTACTTCTTTTTCTTTTATTTGCTGTTGTTTTTCAAATAAAATGCATAACCATATTATAGCTTTCATTGATTTATTTTAAATTTGAAACATTGTCTACCCTGTAAGGTATATAAAACAAATTAATAAAAAATAAATTAACCAATTAATTGAATCGTATCGTGGTGTATCGAAAATAAAATAAAAAATAAAATCGAATCGTTGGGTGAGAAAATTGGTACTGAATCAAATTGCCACGATGGGTGTGATTTACATCCCTAAATTTAAGTGGATCAAAGGTATTTCAAAGTCTATTAAAACAGTGCAGAGGATCTGATGTCCAGTCTCAAACACAAAGTTGCAAGTTGGATTTCAACTTCAGCAGTATACAGGGTGGCCTATATAAGAAATGTGGAGGTGTTTATCCCCTCAACCCTGTCTGACCCAAATGCGAGAGAAGCCTCTCTCTTTTTAAGCAATTCTCTGGTTAAACAGTCCAGTATGTGAGTTTTTAAGGAACTTGTTTGGTTACTGGTATGTGATCTATTGTCTGTTGTTATTGTTCATGTTTGTGCCTTGGGATTTATTCTTTTCATCTGTTTGCATATTCTTATCTTCACTTTTGCTCTCTAATATGCTAAGCAGAGATAACGCCTCATCCGGTATTTTCATGCAAATATCTTAATCCCTAAATAATCAGCTTGGGGTTTTTATTCTGTTTATCCTCCGTGAGTGATGGATCAGTCCACTTCAATCCCTCGTCTTAAGTGTACATCACACTCTCCAGCCAACATGGTCGGTTATTACTGGATATTATACCTCTTGCATCTGTGTCTCAGTTTATATCCCCTTATTTTCGGCTCAGCAGAGAGGAGCGTCCTGGCTTTGAATGGGATGAAATGCACAGGGTGAGATGAGAGCTTAGTTTTTTTTTTTTTTTCCCAGTAAAGGAAGCCAGTGGTTCATTTCTCAGTCACGCAGGCTGACGTGCTTCAGGATAACTCAGGAGAAGACCTGCATTATTCATGTTGTTGACTGGAGCTTGTTTTGCACTTTGGGGTAGACCAGGGAGAAAGTGGAGGAAGTGCTGTCATCTGCATAGCTGTAACAGTCCAGAGGTCTAGTTTTAAGAAATCACACTTAGACTCTTTTTCTTTATTCACCCTATTGATAACCATTGGTCACTTCTTACTTGGCTTTTTATTGCTAACACTGGTCCCCGCTTGCAAGCGTCTCATCTCGATGCCACCAGAGTGAAGACCCGGCTCACTTTGCTCTGAGAGCTCTATAAATTTTTCACGTGGCCCTTCACAAAGGATTCATGTTCCTTCACCATCTTTTCATATTTAACTCCATTTGCTGCTCAAAGGAGGTACTTTCTCCAGCATATATGACAAAAAATTCGGCTGCATTTATTGCCTGATGCACTTTTTTCCTTCATGCCCCGGAACGCTGCAGGAGGCAGCGTAAATATTTAACGGCAGTATCATCTCCCTCTGCGCTGTCTTCTTGCAGTAAGTGCTCAACAGGACTCTGCGGCAGAGGCTGATGGCAAATTAGGTTATTCTGATATCCAATTGCATCACCTTTTATCTAAAGCAAGTTAACTTTTCAGCTCGTATATTGCAGTGTGTCATTTTAAATTAACCATTAAATGTTAGTGGGTTGTCAAAGCCCTCTTTCTTGGGCTGTTTTTAATAATTTGGGCACTAAGAAAGGGCTGTTCAGCAAGCATCCGAGATGCACCCATCAGACTTTGTGGCCAATTTCCAATTTCTTGGTTTCTTAAAGCTCCGACACCGCCAGTCCTATTTGATCAGATTTTGATTGCATGAGTAGTAAAACCCATGAATTCTGCTGGAACATATTCAGAAGGACAAGATTGAACGATTAAGTTCTGATTTCCACTGACTTGGATTAACTTCACATTAAGGCTAAAAAAAAAAAAAAATCCCTTTTTTGTTTTTTATATATATATATATATATATATATATTTTTTTTTTTTTTTGTTGAACCAAAGATCATCTGCAGCGTGGCCAAGTGGAAACGTTGCGGTTAGAGGGTGGGCCACAGTGGCATTTCCTGTGGGAGGATATGTTTTGTGTGTTGCAGACAAATGATAAGGTTCATGATACTGTACATGCCCCCCCCCACCCTACCCCACCGAAAAAGTGAAAGCCATTCTAATATTAAGTAGATGTAAGTAACTGTGTAACGTTTCTATTTTGTTTAAATATTTAACTAAAACTACTATTTTTGTTACAGTAAAGTCCAGATAATTTCCAGTTATATGAATTCCATTCAATGATATATCCATATCAATTTAACTTCTTTTATCTTCACTTAGACTGTAGCCAACATCGAGGTCAGGGTATATTCAGTGATTGCATAAATGCTCTTCAGAATTTGAAGTTCATATTAAATTTGGTTGGTTTCCTGACATGAATTTGATGTCAATTCAATACAGAGGTTTTGACCAGTTTTGTTTGTTCTTGGTCAGTGTTTTTAAAATCCTGGTCTTCAAACCAAACTGCCCTGTATGTTTTAGATGTTTCCCAACTTTCACATACCTGATATCAAATGATAGCAGTTTAACAGGCTTTACTGAACTGCATTCATCGGGATCTACGCTGTGTTGAAGAGGAGAAACATCTAATGCATGCGGGACAGTGGGCCTTGAGCATCAGGGCTGAAAAACACTTTTGTAGATCATTGGATCACTTGGTTTTATCCAAGTCTCTACCAGTCAACTGCAGATATAAGGAAACCATTTATAATTATAAGGCAGTCCTTTGTCTCATTTCTTCAACCCACTGAGTGCAGTGCATCACCTCCACTGGCACGATACTGCTACTTCCATGTTTTTTTACAGTTTAACCTCTAGTTTAAGCCGTCCGTTCTTGTGCCTGATAATCTCAATTTTTCACTTTGTTCTATAGACCAGGCACCCCCAACCTAGGTCCTCCAGGCCTGCTGTCCTGCAGGTTTTAGAGGTTTCCTTGATCCAGCACAGCTGATTGTAATTGAAAGCTGATTAACAGGCTTTTGGTCTACTGGTCTGGTCTGGTCTGGTCTACTATTTTCTTTGTTCAGCCTTTGGAAAATCACAACGGTAAACAGCGTAGGTTGATTGAGATGAGAACCCTGGGCGAGGAATACCCTGACCCTGAAATCCCACATCCTCCGCAACTGCCCCGCTACGCAAAGCCTACAGCCTCAGCGGTTCCTCCCATCTTGCGCCGATATAAGTTCCTTTGAGCTCGAGGAGAGCATGCGTGATATTATCCAATCCAAATTTATTTAAGAACTTACAAAAAACCACAGTGAACCAAAGTTCTGTACAGAATATGTGGTACAGCTAACATATTATTAGTAATAGATAATTAAAACTCACCATCAGCCTCCAGAGAGAGGGTGGCCCAGTGGTTAGGGCGTAGGGTTTGGAATCCTGAAATCCTATAGGTTAATTTCTCCAATGTGAGAT